AAAGAAAGCTAGTGCGTTTGCAGAAATGGTCCAGTGTTTGGATGACAGAAGCTTGTCCCTGGTTATCAGAGAGGCCAAAAATGACGGGAGGAAAGCGCTCAGAGTCTTAAGGGAGCACTACCAAGGCAAAGGAAAACCCCGCATCATTGCCCTCTACACAGAGTTGACTTCACTTCAAATGGGTGAAACAGAAACGACCACAGACTACATCATCAGGGCGGAGACCGCAGCAACTTCGCTTAAAGCTGCTGGCGAAGTAATCAGCGACGGTCTGTTGGTCGCGATGACCCTAAAAGGCCTGCCTAAAAGTTACAAGACTTTCGGCACGATTGTCATGCAGAAGGACACTCCCATGACATTTGCAGAATTTAAGGTCTCGCTCCGAAACCATGAGGAGAACGAGAAATGTTGCCATAAAGACGATGATGGAAACGGAGATGGCGTAATGTCGGCCGCGAATGGTTCAAGCAAGCCAAAGTTCCAAGGAAAGTGCTTCAAATGTGGACGAAAGGGACACAGAAGCGTGGACTGCTACTCGAACAAAGTCGCCGACAAGTGGTGCCAACGTTGCAAGAACAATTCCCACAACACCAAAGATTGCCGCAAAGGGAACCCTGACGCAGCAAAGTCCGCAATAGGACAAGAACAAAAACTTAAAAGAGACAACAATAGTCATAGTTTTCTATTTACTGTTAAGGATCAGGAAGGTAGAGGTGAGCCTACTCCAAATCAATTACTTTTAGATACCGGCGCTACAAGCCATATTATCAATGACAAGTCTAAGTTCGTAGATTTTGATAAGAAATTCGACCCAAGTACACATTTTATTGAGTTAGCCGATGGAAGTAGGGCTAATGTGGTTTTAGGAAGGGGAAACGCCCAAGTTAAGCTTTATGATGTAAACGGTAATGTACAGGATGTGGTGTTAAACAACGCCCTTTATATCCCGTCCTATACCCAAAATATTTTTTCTGTTCCCGCAGCCATAGATAGGGGGGCCAGCATAACTTTAGATAAGGATGCCAAAAATTTGAGAGCACCAAATGGTACAATGTTTAGTATCAAACAACAAGGGCGTTTATTTTATCTGAACAACATTTCAACCCAAAATATTGCCACCACACTAATGGAGTGGCACAAAATCATGGGACACTGCAATTTTAACGATCTTCGAAAACTTCAAAACGTAGTTGAGGGAATGAAAATTGTCGATGATCGACAGTGCGAAAGTGCACTATCTGCACGCAAGGCAAAATGTGCCAATTTCGAATCGAAAACCGGACGAGAAAGCAAAAGAGCCTTTAGAATTGTTCATTGCGATTTAGCTGGCCCAATCAGTCCCGCAGCAAAAGACGGCTTCAAGTATGCGTTATCTTTTATAGATGATTACACAGGAATCAACAAGGTGTATTTTCTCAAACAGAAAAGCGACACCGTAGAAGCGACGCAAAAAGTTTTTGGCCGACACCACTCCTTTTTCGGTAAAATCAAAGCGCATTCGGAGCGACAACGAACGGAATTCACAAGCAAACATTTTCGATCTTTGTTGCGCGAAAATAAGATAAAACACGAAATGAGCGCCCGTATTCCCCCGCACCAAAATGGGACGGTGGAGAGAGGATGGAGAAGTCTATTTGACATGGCGCCGCTGCTTATTGCTCGAGGCAAATTTACCCAAAACACTTTGGACCTACGCAGTGATGGCATCTGCATATATCCGGAATCGATGTTTTAACTCAAGGTTGGGAATGACACCATTCGAGGCGCTAACCGGAAAGCGACCAAACCTAGGCAATATGCACGTTTTCGGATCCACATGTTATGCTTATGTGCAAAACGCGAAGAAATTAGATGCGCGAAGCAAAAGGGGTATCTTAAGTGGGTTATGACAGGGAAAGCCCAGCGTATCTAGTTTATTACCCTAACGCGAACAAGGTCGAAAGGGTAAGATGTGTGAAATTTCACGGGCAGAGTATTTCCTATACAGAGATTGAAGAAGGGGAAGCATTTGTACCTGTCCTAGAACAAAGGGTCGAGGATAACACTGAACAGAACACAGAACAGGCTGACCAACCAAACGAGGAGGGGAGCGTTACTGCGACTAACGACAATGAGCCTGTGACGAACGGGAGGTACCCAACTAGAACCCATAACAAACCCAAACACCTCGAAGAGTATGCTTTAGAGGACGATATGAAAGACAATGTTTATTACACAGTAGACTACTGTTACAGGGTCGTAAACATACCGACAACGATGACGAGGCTGTCGACTCGCCTGAGGCGAATAAGTGGCAAAAAGGCCATGGACGACGAAATGACAGCTTTGAACGACAATGACACGCACGACCTAGTAACACCACCGGAGGGTAGGAAAATAGTGGGGGAAAATGGGTCTATGCCGTAAAAAACGGACCAAATGGGGAAGAAACTCATAAAAAAGCGCGTTAAGTCGCTAAGGGCTATTCCCAAGTTGCAGAAATAGACTATCAGGAAACATT